CACTCGTCTCTCGCTGACAATCTCGCACCTGCTAACTTGGAAAGATGGTAATTGTACTCAATTTTTGTTTATTTTACAATTGCATCTTGCTTGAATCTCGATTCGTTCGAAACTTGTTCGATCTAATCGATGCAAAAACCTGTTTCTGTAGCTCAATCTACATTTCCTTATCGCGGATTATGTGTGATTTAATTGGATTTGGGTTTCTTTATTTGTCGAATCTTCCAGCGTATATGAACAGAGAGGTGGAGGATTATTGTTTTTTCATGTCAAAATTTGAAAAAGATGGATTGATAAGTAGGTCTCTCCTGATGGAAAATTGGAAATATCACAATAATCAACAGGGATGAATAAATAAGTGAAATAAGGTCATTGTTGTTAGGAGCTGTCAGGCGAAACAAGCCACTTGTGAGTTAGGCTCTGCTTGGCTCGTTAAGGCTCGAGCTCATTTAAAGCTCGATTCGTGGACAAGTTTTCTATATAATTCTCTATAGCTCGGCTTAAGGTTCAAGTAGAAGAATTTTTATATAATTTTTTGTAGCTATGCTCGATTTTGGTTCATTAAGACTCGAGCCTGACTTGTTCACATTGATAAACGAGCTGAGTTCGGCTTGTTAATATTGATAACGAGCTGAGTTCAACTCGTTTACACCATCTATTGAATCTATCTCTGTGTGTGTGTGTGTGTATGTGTATGTGTGCGTGTGGTGGATAATTGTTGTAAACTTGCAATGCTAGTGTAAGGGATCAAACATTTGTTGTTCAATAGTTAATTGTTCTTTTGGTTGAATAGAGATTTATCTGAATATAATGTTGTGGGCTACGTCAAACATTGAGGGGCTCACAATTTTTTTTTTTTTTGTTTTTTTCTGAATAGTTAATTGAATTACATAATATGATCATTCATGTTGCTGTGGAAATGGAAAATCGCATTGAGTTCATCTACAGCATATTTATTATATTTACAAATAGTGAGGAGTCACTTGATGATAGGTGAATCTATTATTGTAGTGTTGCATTAACCTAATGGGGTATGCCGAAGCTTATTACTGGTGCTTCTATAGCAGTCGTTTGACTAATTGCATTTCCATACTATTTAAGTTGATGCATGAACAAGGAAATTGAGTAAGAGAGATAGATCGGGATTATCTTTTGTTTTATCTATTTCACTTAATTATGCTAGAACTTACGGAGCATTTCGATTGTGTAGTTATGAGGATATACAACTTATGAATTATGTTGATGCTTTTGCTTGCAGAATGGGCATGATGGAGATAATTCGAAACAAAATACTTCTGACATGACTGCATTTGTGAGTTCTACCCAACTTTTATACAACTAGATACAGTTGCTTTGTATTTCTCTCTTTATTCCAACGTTAATTGATTTCTGGCTCGGTTTTGTGCTTTTCTGAGTTTAAATCTGTTTCTTGGCATACTATCTTTATAAATATACTGATGATTCTGGGTGTATATATATATTTATGTTTATATAAATATACTGAATATTTCGGTTTCCGGTTTTTATTTATAGGTGCAAAACCTTCTTCAGCAAATGGTGAGTAAACCGAAGTTAATGCTTTTAACTAACTAGTTTATTCCGTACATTTGATGACACTTGCCATCTCACCCGTGTTCCGTTCTTCTTTTAGCAAACTAGGTTCCAAACGATGTCTGAATCCATCATCGGAAAAAATATCCTTTTTAACAGCCACTCATTAATTGTGTAATTTTATTTTTGTATAACAAGGTCACAGAAAGTGATTTCTTGCATAAAATGATGGTTTTAGGACTCTGCAAAGTACAAACTCCCGAGTGTTTGACACTTTCTAAAGGGCATTTTGTAATTACGAAAGTGCCTCAACATATGTATAATGTGCATGAAATGTATATATTTTTTTCCTTAACTATGTTGTACTCGACGAGATGGGGAACCGAATTGATGAGTTAGAGCAGAGCATAAACGACCTCAGAGCTGAGATGGGCCAAGAAGGTTGTCCATCTCCTTCGGCTCCATTGAAGATGAAGGATGAACCTAAGTCAGCTCAAGACAGTTAATGCGACTAGTGTCCGTTTGATTTTCCAACTTTGCTCGATTTTTCTTGTGCTTGTGTGTGATTTAAGATGGGAAGTGTAATGTTTTCCCATTTAGTTTTTATATCTTTGAGAAACTTTAATATGTGTGACCCTATTGTATATTTGGGGAACAACAATCTGTGTTGGGAGAGAGTTTAGACGGTGAAGTCTGTTAATTTGCCTGAAATTTCAAGCTTGCTGCGGTTTGTGTTTATACCGACAAGACAAATGTTAGTCGATATGTTTAGAGATCATAGGTTTGTTTGTGTGTTTTGTATTGATTTACCTTGGAAGGTTTTGTGCCTTTTTTCCCCTCAGTTTGGCTTCATATGGTTAGAGATCATAGGTTTTTTCGTGTGTTTCGATTGATTTAACTTGGAAGGTTTCGCGCCTTTTTTCCCTCAGTTCGGCTTCAAATTCAAACGTTGTTACCATCCCTTGATTTTGAATTATTTGAAATATAATTTTTCTACTTTCAAATTCGTTGAATGAATTTGTAGAAATGATTATAAATCCATTGACCAGCTTGCAGCGATGGTGTCTACACGCGGTGGTGATGAATCTAAATGCGCGGACGGTATGTGACCGCGCGTCGTTACACGGCAAATTTATATTTATAAAATTTTCCTAACTTACCCCTACTAACTAGTAGTAGTGGCGAGCAAGGGTCGATCCTACAGGGAGTGTGGTATAAACAGTGAATATATTATATTAATTAGATTAAAATAAAAATGGGGGGTTTTGATTTAATCCGAAACTACTAGCAAACAAGAAATAAACTAAAAATAAAAATAAATGAAATATATGCCAAAGAGGATGAAACCGAAAATAAATAAAAATAATCTAGCAAAGATGAGAATGGAATCGGTTCCAGGTTGGTCTACACCCTCGAATAACTAGCCCAATTAATGCATTTATTAAATTTCACTCGTTTTCTAAAACTACCGGTCCTAGATAGCAATAAGCTCTGCTACCCGAATTTTCCCTTAATTTATACTTAATCGAAATAGGCTCTTCAATTAATTCTAACTAGCGAATAACTCGGAATAAGCTCTCCTAATTTAACCCACTAGTCGCATTAAAATCTAGGAAAATAGACCGATCTAAGCCACAAACACATAAGCTCGGTTCATGTAACTTATGTTGTGCTATCCCTAACAATGCACGACTGTTAGTTGCTACAAACGAAATAAGAGCAACGACAATTACGGATCGAAGCCTCAAATCTAGCGATTAACATGCAATTCCTAACTTAGGTGATCAAGCTAAATTAAAAATCACACATTATGACATGAACATAGAATAACACAATCAATTTTATACGACGAGTAAAACGAAATAAATTGCATTAATCAAACGTAGTCATCGAGGGTTCAACGTCCCTAGAACCGAAATACTGTTTAGCTACACATAGCTAAATGATAAAAATAAAGGTAATAATTTAACATGTTCTTGAAACAAAATAAAATAAAGAAAAACAAATAAATCAAACTCCTTTAAGTTCAAGATGCTCCACGGCTCAGTTGAATTCTTCAATCTCCTCCCCAACTCACGTTATAAAACCAAGCCAGGTTGAATAGAATGAATGAATTTATTTTTTTTTCTCCCTTGATTTCTATCTCACGCAGCCAAAAATAAGGATAAGAGTCCCACTCCCCTTGAATTCTTCCCCCACGTGATCACACTAAAGAGTCCAAAGAGAATTGAATTCTCCTTAATCTTGGTCAGCCACCAACAAAAAATAGTCCATCAATTAAGAAAATCCATCCTTAAAAATTAGTCCTCCTGCGTGTATTCGGATAATTCAAATTGCAATCCACTTATTTGCCTACTCAACTGCCACCTCACCAATGCCACGTCACAAATAAGCGTAATAACTGCAAAATAAGATAAAATCCAAATATTGGTGTACGTCCGTTCACAAAATAAATTACGTGAGAAAACTTGTATAATACACTAAAATCCAATACTCAAATATTTAAATTAAATCACAAAATAACACAAGATTTCTCACGTATCAGTATGATTGTCAACGGTGGGATAAACCTTAAATGACTAGGTTTTGAGTAGTATTAAAATCCTTCAAAATAATGACTAAAATCTATCTATTGTGAATTTGAAATCATCCAACTTTTATTATCATTCCAAAATGCATGGCGTTTGAACTTAGCCTCAATAAATTTCTCAATCCAAACGTGGCCTCATATCATTTTAAATCAATATAGAAATAGAATTACGATTGGATATAAAATTCTTTTTAAGAAAAAACTGTCTCATCTGAAAAATAAAATGAGATGGAAAGTAAAAAAAAAAATATTTTCAAAAAATAAAATAAATAAAATTAGTATTTTTAAAAAATGATGTGATATAAGAACAATAAAATATTAATTGATAATAAGAAATATGTGAGTGCTAAAATATATTTTTTTTCTGTGGAATTATTGAGAAAAAANAGAAAAGTAAAATTGTATGCATTCAAATAAATTGACGTTGGCTCAAATGTTCGAACAAGCTCAGTAGGACTTGTTGCAATAAGATTTAAGTTACCTCTTAGATTCTTCAATACAAATACAATGTCGACAAGAATTTGGAGCGAGTCTTGACTCTTGACGGCTTTCAATTTATGTGGGTTACAATATATCCAGTATAAATCCTGATTTTTAAGAGCCCAAAGATAAAGAAGAAATAACACATTGTGCGCTGTGATCTTAAAATGTATAATCTTTTAAGATTTTTTGTACGCAAGGTGTTATTCTAGGTGGCATTCGTGTTTGATTTGTGTTTCTTTAGTAAAAAGAAGAGTCGTCTCAACTCACTTTGTTTAATAAACCTAAAATCATGAACAAATTGGTTGCGAGCACGATTTGTGTCAGTTAACATGCAAAATTTAGTTGTTCATTCGAAATCTTTAAAAAAAAATTAAAAAATAATAAAATTGTTTGCTTAGTTGTTCGAGTTTGTCTTATTTAATTAAATGAGTCAACCGAGCTCGAGTTTTCACAATTGCTATTTGTTCGAGTTTGTCTCATTTAATTAAGCACCTCAATCGAACTCGAGTTTTCACAAGACTAATCATGTTCGCGAACAACTCAATTTGAATAAAGGATGCTTGAATATAAGATTTTTTTGGTTTTGTTTATATATTTTTTTTTTATTTTGTTTGGTTATTTTGAAAATGTGGTTTGATTAATTTAATGTATTATGGAGCAAAAAAAGTTCTGCTCAAGACTTTTCAAAGCGGACAACAATATAGACTTGTGCCCAACAATCTGAACTGAGAAACAAACTCAGAAAAAAACATGGATGAACATCTAAGCCGCCCAACAAAGCTGGAATACTATGAAGACATGTTCAAACTCCAATCCACCTCCACCATTCTTTCTTATTTCCTGGTAATGAATTTTTAAATTTTCCCCCCATTTTATTGCACAATCACACTGTATCAATCCCTTTTACTATTATTATTATTATTTTAACTTTAAATTTCTTGATTGGTTCTTTTTTTTTTGTCAATTTTTTTTTTAAAGAATGAGGATGGTAGGCACACCATTATACTCGATTCCACCATTTTTCATCCCCAAGGCGGCGGCCAACCTTCGGACAAGGGTTTCATCTCCAGTCGGCTGTTCAAGTTCATTGTTGAAGATGTTCGATCCAAGGACAAAATTGTCAGTTTCATTTTTCAATATTTTTACTACAATTCCATTTTTTTTTTGTTACTGATTTTTTATTTTACTTTTTGTTTTGATGTTTTTTTTTTCTTTCTTTTTTCTTGATTTGTTATAGGTTTATCACTATGGATATTTTGAGAAATCTGTAGATGGGAGTGTTGAGAAAGGTGTTGAAGTTGTGTTAAGTGTGGATGAAGATAGGAGGAGGCTTAATTCTAGGTATCAATTAACTTCACCTTGTGCCTAATTATTGAACCATATTTTATAGCCTCACAAATTCTAGTTTGAGGTTGTATAGCTGTTAGGCCGGTCGACTCGTCGTACATTTGTGACAAATATGTATATGTATGCTGTGAAATGTTGTACTTTTGTTTGTTTTATTTTGTTGTAGACGACATTTCGATTTGGAAGTATGCATATATGTTGGAAAAATATGAATTGTCTAATCATTAGATTTGTCCAACAGTAACCTTATGGCTTATTGTTTAGCTGACTAGCTATCAACTTCTCGTGGAGTTTGATTTGTGAATAGAAATAAGTTAATGCGCTGAATATTGCAAGATTGTGATTTTAATCCCTTAACAATAGAGGTAGGAATATTGGTGCCTATATCACTCTAAGGTAAAGAAAATTTTGCAATTGAAAAAAGAACAAAGATGCATTTTTTTTGTAAAGAAAAAAAGGAGTGAATTCAGTCACTTTGGAGAATGTTTTAACTTTAAGCACTATTTGTGTGAGAATTCTCAAAAATGAAAAAAAAAATGGCAGAACTCGCTAGCTGTTATTTTGTTATCTTCGAAATGTGATTCTTAATTGAGGAAATATTTGATGTGAAAAGACTTGTGAATGCTCATTCTTTTTCTCCATTTCCCAAGTTCTTATTTCTTCCTCTTTTCAAAGGGGATTTTGAACTTTTCAGTTTTTCTAATGTCCCGGTGAGTTTCTTTCTTCTGTTGGCCAAAATATCAGTACTGTCATGTCTAAAATGAATTATCTTGTTTTCATGGTGTTGTATATGTTACTAAGTAGTAATGCCCGTTCGCAGGCTACACTCAGCCGGCCATTTGCTGGATATTTGTGTACGAAATGTGGGATGGGCCCACTTGGAACCTACCAAAGGGCACCATTTTCCAGACGGGTAAGTACTTTTTTTTTTTTAATGTTTGTGAAAGCTTATGCGGGTATGTCTTTGTAAAGATAATTTCTGTCAGAGCTGCTCATTTGATGTCATAATTCGATTGAATCTAATTCGTTTCTTAACAAAAGGAAAAAAAAAAATCCTCTTGATAACAAGTAGGTTTATTACTCATCGCAAATAGTTTTTTCGAAAAAAATGTATGCATGATGGATTGACGTGGTTCATCTTTCACGGTTACCGGTTGTGGTGTATCGTGAACTGCACCCTGTTTATGGTGTAATTTGTAAAAAAATTTTAGACTTCAAGCTGTATTTATGACTTTAAGATTTTTTTGGTAAGACAAAATCTTGAAATCTTGCTTGGTGATTATGTTTCATGGTTATCTAGATTCTAGCTCTTAGGTTGTAATTTTTTGTGTTAATAAAAAATTTTCAGACCGTTTGTGGAATACAAAGGTACGATTCCACAGAATGAATTGCAAAGCAAGCAAAAGGAGCTTGAATTAGAAGCTAGCCATTTGATCTCAAAAGGAGGGAAGGTTTGCATTTCGTACTTCTATCTGACTCAATTTTTTTTTTTTTAAAAAAATGTATTTATGTGATGGGACTGAACCCACGAATTTTGCAATGTCCACGTGATATTAATATAACATTATATCCAGGTTTCTGTGTCGATTTTACCATATGATAAAGCTGCTGAACTTTGTGGTGGATCACTCCCAGACTATATACCAAAGGTCAGAGAGTGATATTAACAGTCTTTGGTGTTTATTGTGTTCTTTTCTACAATTTTCTGCAATGTCTAAATCGGATATGATTGCCAATTATGGTTAAGATGTGCGTGTGTGTTTATGGATTTCAACGTTGCTGGTTGTTCTTCTCAATTTAATTTTAAGACGACAACAACAACAACATAGCCTTTAGTCTCAAGCAAGTCGGGGTAGGCTAGAGATGAAACCCAAGAGAAACACAAAAAGACTCGAACCAAAAGGAAGAGATCGAAAAAAAAAAAAAAGAGAGAGAGAGAAAGGAACAAAAGTCACGGTTCTGGCACGTTGATAGCGAGCCTCCAAGCACTCCTATCCACAGGAGCAAAAGTCATGGTTCTAGTCACGGTTCTCAATTTAATTTTAAGAATTTTAACAAAAGTACGTTAGGGGTGTGTTTGGTTCAAAGGAGGGGAAGGGAGGGGAGGGATTTTAATGGAGGGAAAGGGAGGAGAAGGGAGGTGATGTAAAATAATTTTACCTTGTTTGGATGGATTATGGAAGGAAAATGGTAAACCTTGTTTGGTTAAGAACTTAAAAGAAGGGAAAATAAAGTTAAAATGACAAATTTACCCTTAATAAAATAAGATAAGAAATTAAAATTTATTAAAAATAGGGACAAAATAGTATTTTGACATCAACTTATTACATTTCCCCTCCAAATCCCTCCAATTTTGGAGGGGAGGGAAAGTAAGGGAGGGGAGGGAAAATTACTTAAAATTTTCCTCTCCCTCCCCTCTTAATTTTTCAACCAAACAAAAGAAAACTAAAATTTTCCCTCCCCTTCCCTCCCCTCCCCTCCCCTCCCCTCCCCTCCCCTCCANTTATTTTTGTACAAAAAAGGAAGCGCATCCCATTCTAATACAAAAGATATTTATATTTTGATTTTAATTTTTTTAACCTTTTTTCTTTACTCTTAACTTGTACAAAACAGGACAGCTCGCCTAGGATCGTGCAATTGGGACAAAATCCAGGTTGCCCTTGTGGCGGCACGCATGTTCTTGACATCAACGAGATTTTGAGTTTGAAGGTACAAATTTCCAGTTTCGACACTTGAAAAAATCATCGTAAATTTAACGAACATTGTTTTTTTTTTCTTTTCCTTTAATCTTACATACCCGATTATGTATGGATTTGTGGCTTTTATTGCTCATGCCATGTACTGTTTTTTGTGACATTTTTTGATGTTCAGGTTTCTCAAATTCGGACAAAGAAAGGGCTGACAAAAGTTAATTACAATGTGGGATAACATTTTTGCTGTGGTTTTGTGGATTATGTGAAGAGCTAGCTTGCTACTATGCATCAATTTATATCAATCAATATATTAGTTTTTGCTTTAACAATGTAAAGTCCTAAGAATACTGTAGTCTTTGATTACATATAATTTTTGTGTATAATAAAAAATTCTGAGTGCACCCTATTCCTATGAGCATATGAAAACCTATGTATAGTAATACCTATTCATGTTTATTATACACAAAAATTAATTATATACTATTAGGCTGCATTTGTTAGGGCTTATTAAAAGTGATGTCAACTGGTAGGTATTATTTTGACCAATTTAAATAGTTACCTTAGTATTTGCAAAATAATTGTAAAAATACTCTCTACAAAATTTATTTACAAATATACCTTATTGACCATAAAAATTTATATTAAACGACATTAAGGTAAAGAAAAGAGAGATAGAATACCTGTGGAGGATCTCATGACTTATGAGATTCTTGCCATAATAAAGAAAAAAAAAATGTATATTGAATATTAAGTTCTATATAGATGGCTAAAAGTAAGCATTTTTTCATCATTGATTGAGAATATGAGTAGAGTTTAATTTATGTTTTGTTTCATCAAAATTCTTATATCAAAAATTGAAAAAGTTAAAAACCATAGAAATAAAATGTTATAAAAAAAAAACATAAAAATGGAAATCTAAAAATAATGTATTACATATGTACACTTAGACTCTGGAAAACACCCTTATGATTTGTTTTAGAACCAAAGCAATGCCAAGAATTATAATACATAATAATAAGATTATGAATAAATCATTCAATGCCCATCCCCACTNAATTAACATATAATCAGATGGCAATATCAATCCTTGGGTTCGATTAACTGCCCATGAGAAACCGGAAAACATCGCCTAAAGAAATTATTCCCTCTACATGCTTGCTTCCAGCTTCAACGACAATAATCCTTCTCACCCCTGAAAAAATAACAAGAAAAAAATACATAAGAACAATGATGTACCTATATAGAGGATCACTTGTACAGGCCCGAATATTATTTTTTCAGGAGGCCTTGAAAATGAAATGAAAGAAAATATAACCTGGCTGGGATAATCTCTCCAGAACCTTATGGAGAGGATCAGAACGCAAGCACATGAAGCATCTTTGGATATTGGACCCGTAAGGAGAAAACGGGTCATCCCTGTACTGCAACGCCTATGATTTTTTGAAATGGACAAATAAGTAAGGAATAAGGAATATAATGAAGAAAAAAAAAATGAATGACAAAATCTATATTCAATAACTTCGGTCCCCACATCTATGAGTGTGTCAGTGTGTGTGTGTTGAAAACGCAAATTCAATACATTTCGTACATAGAATCCACACTAACATGATAAATGAGTTTTTACCTGATGAATTGTTGTTTCGTCAAGATTAATGTGTGCATAAATTTTGTCTTTCGCCAGAGCAGTTATGTCGCTGGTGAAAAACGACAATATATTTTGATATAATATCACAATGTAGAGATCGGAGGAAAAAAAAAAGGAGAGATTCACGTTCCTATAACTCCAAAAATGTAAGAAATGAAAGAAAGAAAGAAAAAAGAAGAGAAGAAAATCTCATGCCACAGGCAACAGCATGTTACCAACCTCCGAGAGTAAACATCCAATAAAGAGTCATTGTCATCAACAATCGGGATGGAACTGACTTGCGCTGCAAAGTAAAAATCACATTAACGTCACAATGAAATGATTTTGGGATTAATTATGCTAAATACCTCATTAAAATAGTGCATAATATATAAAGAATTCAAAAAAAATCACTTTTCGCAAAACATTTTTTTTGCAGAATGTACTCATTCTACTGTTAAAAAACCTTCTGAACCCAATGTTTTATCACGTCCACATCCACCAAATCAAAAGAATAAGCTATTTCAAACAGATGAAGAAAAGTGGAATTGGCAATGATTAAGTTGCCAACCACTGAAAGTATATGAAATCAGTTCTACAGCAAAATTCACTTCAATCACCAATTATTGAATAGGCACCATTTTTAAGATAAACTATACTATCTAATAGTAAAACTTCCTTATATACCATTTTCAAACCACTTGGAACTCACAACAGAACAAAAACATTTGGTTCGAAAAGTTGCGGTACAATTAAGCATTAGGACAGAAACTAGATAAGCCAAAAGTATGGTTCGTGAGAATTAAGCTAGAAGTGCTTCAAAGTTTACCCCAGTTCTAAGAGTAGCTTGATACCTTGAATTAATAAATTTAGAGCTGCACTAAGTGAAGAACTTGGTCTCAACATCGCCAATGGCCGCCGATTTGCCTCCCCAATTTTCGGAACCCAAGTCCCCATTGGAATTGCAAAGATTGGAAACTGCAGTATTGGTAATGAGCTTGGAGAATGCTTAAAGAAGCGGCAAATACCTGTTATGCAACAAAACATGTTAGTTATGAATATAAGCACTTATCTCTGTTTCTCACATTAAGTATGCCCACAAGATTATTTTTTTTCTGGGCAACCACCCATTTATTTTTCAAAATTACATATCCACGGGTTAATATATTATACGCCATCGGATAATAACGAGTCGTCATATTCGACCTTGGGCACAGGAATAATGACTACTTACAGTTTTCACATTTAAATAGAGCAGAATCATTGTTGTTGAGAAAATAAAAGCTAGGATGGAGATTTCACATATTCAACTAAAATAATCATTATTGTATTCACCCACTATTATATTTGTTGTCATATAATCTAATAATGGCAACAATGGAACTTAACCCTAGAAATACTCCATTTGAATAACAAGCCTATCTTTTGGAATTCCCCCCCTCTCCATTGGAGATGCAATTTGAAAAATAGGAACAAATAACAAATGTTGTTGAATTAGACCAAGTACAAGGTTACTTTGAACTTTGATATATAAACACACAAACACATGAGAAAAAAGGGAATAATTCTTGTGCTCACATTTCAATATCCCTGAAAGTGAAGCAATATGCAAGAGATGTGGGTTTGTGGCATCTGGTGCAGATGAATGAAGGATGGGAACAGTGGCCACACCATTTTGCAGAATCTTCAGAGCAATATCCTTGAGACTGTCATCCGGCCCAGCCTGCAAAAATATCAACAAGTTGAATTCGATGAGAATCTCATCTCATATATCTAAAATAAGGTGCAAGGAAAAATTGTGCTTCACACTTAACCAAAGGGAATTAGGCCTCCTTCCTTATTTCGTCATTTTTTGTTATTATTTTTTAGAAGAAACATTATCAAAGATACTTATGACATTATGAAACGTTGGTATTCACACCCATCATACAACCAAATCTTTCATAACTGTATATTCTCCATTTTTCATGAACTAAAGTGCAATATAAGATGATGCAAGGATAAACGAACGTAAAGCTAATTATAGCTCCACACAAAGATTTAATCTCATTAGAGCATAAACAATCGGTGCATTACTTAATGTTTCCAAATATGGAGATGATAGTAATGTAAATGAACTAGTGTGGCCATCTATCCACATCCATGAACTAGAGTTTGGTCCAAGAAGAAGAATTTAAATATTGGCATTCAACAGAATCAGCACATGGATATGAAGACTAACTTGCACAAGTTGTCTGGAACATCCTTGCCCACCAATTTGACTATTCAGATATGACTTTGCTTCTTTCCAAGCAGATATAGTATGTGTCTCAAGTTCTTCCTCTGTCAAATTCGAACCATTACTGCCAAGCTGCCACGAGAAACAAGCTTGCTTGAAATAAAAACTTCGCATTTGCACAACATTTATATTTGGTAGACGGGAATATAAATCATCCTTTACCAAAAGAACGTCCATATATATATATATAAGAAACAAAGTCAAGCAAAATCCAGTACTTCCATTAACAATGATATTAATTTAGATTAAATTGCAGGCCATTCACTAACAAGTCACATCCCATAAAATCAGACAAGAAAACAGGTTGTCATCTTAACGAAGATGATTTTGTAACAGTTAAACATTATCAAAACTTACAATCTGAAAAGACTAAGATGAAGATGTCCCAACATTTTTTAACTTATTATAAACACTGTGATGAAGTGAAATGAAGGCACCATGAAATTTACATCTATAGTAGAATTGGAAGTGACAAATATAGATTAAGCATGCAAATGTATTAAAAATAATGAGGCAATTATTTCTGCAACCAATCTAAAAATTTAAAAACATGAATGAAGTATTTCCAGGAACCATGTCAACATTGAAAGCTATTGATTTGATCAAACAACATGTGTTCTAAGTCAAAGCAACATCAATCAGACAAAAAGAAATCCAATAGCATTTGTGGCTTTAAAATTACTCACTGAGGAAAAAGAAAAGGCAGAAGGGTCATTTCATTTACCTCTTTCATAATCAGAATAAAGTCCAGCGCACTGATAACTCCAACAAATTTTCCCTTGGCAAAGTTCCACAAGGGCGCCATACAGATACCCTGAAGAAACAATGGTTGGTTCAGAATAACTATAAACATACTAAGAACTAATTACTTGAACAAAGAACAACAGGAAGAAACAACAGACTATATACACATCCAATACAATGACTTGCTAAGGCAAGGTTACTAAATGTGCCCCTGTTCCTAGTTCCTACAGGCATTAATAAACAATTTACAGAAGATTAATCCTCGTAAGATTCTTGCTTAAGATAAAAAATAATGCCAGTATAAGCTAACAAAATGCTCAAGTAAACTCAGATTTTAAGACTTAGTTATTAGATTAATAGATATAAAATTTAATAATTGGCAAAGATACCTGTTCATGCAGGATATGAAATGCTTGTTTTACAGGCAATTCAACATCCAAAGCAATAACCTGCACAAAATTAACCAAATACATAAAGCTCGGCCAGAAAACTAATCATAAAATATAAAAATAGGAAATGAGAAGGACCATCTATACCTTTCCAGATTCTGGTAGCAACTCATAAGCCATGTGTGAAGACATGAATACAGCAACACGGTGCCTGGATATTTCTAAATCTGCTTCTGATATAGTCGGAAAGGCCTCAGGAGATGGGCCATCTGACACACGAACCTGTGGACAAGGTCCATTATCAACACAACAGTCTTAATTATACCATGAAAGGATAAAACTATAGATGCAAAATAATTTTTAACTATATGCGCAGCAAATTCGAAGGCTGTTGTGGCTCAAACAAATTAAGGTTCAAGACATAATGTCTGGATACTTAAGAACCGTAAGAAGAGGAAAATGAAACGTTCTTAAATTTTTGTTTATAACTCGTATGCTTCCACATAATTTCTTGTCCAAAGTTAACATTTTGAACACACACAATTATGAATTTAAAGGCATGAGCCAAAACTAATTCTATGATGACTGAGCAGGGAAAGATTTAACAAACATCAGATATGCAACCGCAACCAACTTAGGGAGCATAAAAGTTTTTTCAAAAAAAATTATTCTCTTTTTACTGCATAAGTCATCAAAATATTTCAAAACTTCCATGTGGGAAAAAAAAAAATAAAGGACACCTGTGGGGAAAACAATGATGATTATATTGAAATTATACCTTGCGCTGGAAGGCATCATTGTCAACATCCATGTTCCAACCAGGAGCAGAGGGAGGCGCCTGTGGGCTCAACACAGGAGGCACAAAATCAGACTCCCTAGTTAAAAGGATAGTGTTCACTGTTCCAATGCTACTACTAATGAAAGGCTGGTGCTCATCATGCCTCCATTCACCATCAACAACAAACTTGTACTGCAAGGAAAAAAAAAAAAAAAAAGTGCTTTTTAAAAATGAGAGTAAATTCCACGATGTAGCGTTCAATGAAAGTCACACAAATGTTTTCAGGCAAATTAACAGGTTTAAAGAAAATATTCCATTCCAACTTTTATCTATACGACACAATTTAACAGTGTGACTAATCAGAAATACATTGTTTCTCAACCTCCCTGTAGCAGCTTATGGTAAGAAATCCAACCAAACAAAGACTGACGTAACAAATAATTTTCACAGGACACATGCATCTCATACTTCATTCCGTGTATATTATCTATGTGGATGGTTCACATCGAATTTCTCACGCTGTACACGTTCTGAGTAGCTAAACTATTCAAAAGATTTAGTCGGTATTCTAAAAGGCCAAGGCACAAGGCAGGTGGCAGAGATTTGTTATGACATGAAATTATTAACATTTACGCTAACCTGATACTATTAGGATTTCTTATCACAAAGCAATGTACGTTTTATCTTGCCACTAGCAGCATATGCATATACAAGCCTTTATTTTAAGAATAATTATTAACCTAAAAAGTCTCTCGTATTTATGCAGTAATGGTCAGTTTATTGACATCTATCCGGTGTCTCGACAAGTGTCAAAGAATCTAATACCACATATTATGGCCGTCAAAACACATTAAGGATCACATTTAGAACAATTTAGATCATACTTGGAATAACAGATATATATACATTGTTTTCGAGTACTTCTGTAAATGGAAAATAAATAAATAAATAAATAACTACACGTGTTAAAGGTCAGTACTTTTCCCACCTCATTCATCACAACACGTCACAACGACATCACAAACATGAGGCCAAATATGAGCAACTAAAATAAAAATAGAATAATGGAACAAATAGACAAATCTCGTAACCGATCAGCTGCATATGATCACGTGATTTACGGTGCAGAATTCATCACAAGAGTGTGGCATAACACGCCCATTGCATGTAATATGACATAGCAAATATAGAATCCTTCTACAGACAAAATCAACTGCTAAACATTTGCAATCTAATAATAATAATTTCATTCCAGTCAAAATAAGGTATCAATAATCAGATCACCTCAAATAAGAAAATTTTCATTCTTTTTTCTTACGAGGAAAAGGTAAACCCTAGAAAGCTTAAAAAACAGAACACCACAAACCTGGTGAAAACCAGGCGGCAAGCTACAAATCGTCTGAAACACAGTAGAGCAACCCTCAACTGGCGTCATTGGCCAGTGTGTCCACCTTCAAAGACAAAACAACAAATAAGCATCAATCTTACGAGTAGCTTAACACAATAATCATCTCAAATCACAAAAAGACTGGGTCAGAAGAAAAAATTAAATTAGGAAAATGGAAAAGTAAATAAAAATCTGAACATAACACGATTGTGTGATAAAAATTCAAGAAAATAAACTCTCACCCTGTAAACGAGCCCACGATATGCACAATTCTACCACCATAGCGCCAGACAAACCGCGTCGGAACCAAAACCATCCCTGTTTCGCGAGGAAAATCCATACCAGCAGGATACATGCATTCACCCTTCAAAAATTCTAAATCCCCAGAAAACGCACTTCCCCCAGAAACACGCTTAAATCATTCGTGATAAAACATTTCATCAGCATCAACAAAAAATCAAGTAACAATTGTGAAACCCAGCAAACGTTACCCAACAAAAAAAACCCACAAATAAATTCAATGGGGATTACCAAAGTAACTACCCAAAAACCAAAATTCGACAAAATTCAACAGGAGGACTCAAAAATCTAGCTAAATCCAGAATGCCCTAATTTTACGTAAAAAGCTCATAACCGAAAAAAAAAATTAAAAAAGGGAATAAAACTCGAAAAACTTGAAAGGGCAGACGAATTAGGTGTCAAATGCAGAGCGCAGAGCATCAAAATTGATACTTTTTGATAAATCGAAGAACTTTTGGGAGCACTCAAACATGAAATTCAAGGGGGGAATATATCTACAGAGATGAAAATAAAAATAAAAATGGCCCTAGCCCTAATAATATAATTCCCTTTTTTGAATAAATTTATTTATGAAAAAAAAAAAAATGAATAAAAATGAAGTTTTTACAGACGTACGAATTTATACAGCACACTGTATTCAAGGGGACAAAGCCATTATTTAGGTGGTTCCCACATTATGAGATTCCCATTCATTAGCCAATTCAGCATTTTCTAGCATTTTTACCTCATTGTAAATAACGATGTTAGTCTAAACACAAATTCCTATTTGAGTTGGCCTAATTATTAGACAAATTCAAGTCACATTTGGGAATAAAAAAAATAAAAATATATATATATATATACACGATCTCTTAATTCAGTAATTTTAGCAAGTAGGTTTAGAAAAGTTTGATTTCGAGTGGATAATAAACACACATATGCTCATCTGAGTGAAAACATCTATCAAGATCATAAAATATCGAAAAGGTTCCGATGTGGGATGAATTTGTCCACATATAACCTTGAATCTTATAAAGAAACATAGGAGATTCAATCTTAACTTTATTTCGTGAAAGCCTTGATATTAGTTTTCTCTTTGTACAAGCATCACAAATAAATTCATTAAAAGAAGGAAGGCTGCTGCTGGACACCGTATGCCCAGTTGAGTTAGAAATGATCTGACGCATTATACTAAGCCTAGGATGGCTCAATCGCTCATGCCGTAATCTAAATGAAACATGATTAAGAAGGTAAAATGTAAGTATGATACAACTCTGAGGAGAAAGAAGAAAGTTCTTCTATATTTTTCTTTTGACTTTTTTGTGATTGAGCCATTAGTAGGTACTCTATTATTTTGATTCTTAGTCTCGAGATGAAAACTATTTGATTAAATGTCTTTAAAATTAAGAAGTGTTTTTTTGAATTCAGGGTACAATAGCGCATCATTAATTATAAATTCAGTACCTATAGGAAGGGTTAGTAAAGCTATGTCGGAGTCTACTATCAATGTATTATCATGAGCAATTGCAGTAACACTCATTTTCTTTTCAATTAAAGTTTGAAAAAAAAAATTAACTTTCAAAATGGTGTGCGTAGTAACACTGTCGACCAGACATAAAATGTCCTCTTTCACATTAGATGCAAACTAGTGAATAGTTTTGGTACACTAAAAGAAAAGTAAAACATTCTAAGCAAGCAATCATGAAATCTCAATCAAATCATAACATATGAAAACATACTAATAACAAAAACAAACCACAATTGTCTGATGGAACAAAAGAAAACCAGAACTATCTAATAGCGTGAAACAAAGCATCAAATAAAACTATCCAATACTATGATAGAATGCATATGAGGGACATTATCACCATAGTCCTCAGAGCTCAAGTTTCAATAAATCATCATCATCATTTATTGCTAATTTGTTTCATGCAAACTAATGTTATGTGATTCAAGTTTCAATAAATCATCATCATCATCATTTATTGCTAATTTTTTTCATGCAAACTAATGTTATGTGATTCGCCTTGAAGAGCTTTTTCCTTTCTTACCATTTAGCATTCTTCGGTAAGTCTCAACCATTTAGCATTCTTCGATAAGTCTCAACTAGATGCATGCGGAGGAGTACGACATGTGCGGGACCAATGACAAACAAAATATTGTTTTTAACAATATTTTATACTAAATGAGAGTAAGTGAGCAAATGCTGACAATTTTGCAACCCTATTACCACATAAGCAATATTTTTCACCTTCAGTTTTTGCTTGGGATTAAGCTACACACCCCTTCATCACAACACGGTTTCATAAATTAAAACTAATAGCCTAATCAACCGACAGAACCAATCTACCAAAATTCATGCTCTTTGCACTTAAAAACTTTTTTATCAAAAGCATGAAAAGAAACAACATTTAACTGAAACAACGAAGCACCGCATGCGAACTGGCTCATGAATTGTACAGGCCAACCACAAACATACACTAATTTTCCGTCATTTTCACATTTAGTTCAATAGATAAACAAAGAAACTGAAAATGAGGTACTGAAGGCCAAGGAAAAAAAAAAAAAAAAAAGGCATGAAGCCAAAAGTTCCGTCTCAGTCTCACTGCTGCTACTGTAATTTTCACGGTTTTCTTGACCAGTGTTCAGCAATGGTCCTCCAAATCTCAGAGCTTAAGTACAGTGTCCTAAGCAATGCATAGACTAGTCCATCATCAATGTCACGTAAACCTATTGAATCATTTACACTGGCTTTAGCTCAACTGGCGTCCGAAACTTTTGCATGTTTCTTTTCGTTTGTTCTTTTCAGTTTTGAGGCTGTCATGCAGTAGCAATTGAGCTGCAAATTCTGTCACCATCTAGTTCGAAAATTCATGCCAAGTATTTGAACAAGTTGGGGTTGTCTTTATCTCTTTCTAGATAGTCGCGAGTGATCAAATCCTCAATCCGCTTCTTGATTGCTTTAACATCAGGCTATAAAATGCATAGTTGCGATCAGTCAATATAGAACTCAATTACGTTATAACAAAATGGATGTATTATCAAAAAGATAAAGACAAGAGAGGGTTAGCCTAGTTACAAAAAATAAAAAATTATCTTAAACATTGAGGACACTAATGCAAAAAACCATAAGCCAAAAGTAAAGGAAATTGTGAAAGAAAACTGAGATTCTCGTAATCAGGCTGAACCTCGACAATGCTATTTACTCTTATCTCCAAATAGAATTGGAAATAACATAACATGCATCATAAGGTTTACCTTAAACATTCGGTTTAATTGATCAACGCACTCAGCCACCAACTGCTGATACCCCAAGACCTTTCTACTCTTCATTATACGCACAATCGAGGCATCGATGGCATACCGTCTGTCCTTGTCAACGTCCTCAATAACCTTCTTCTTCTCATCCACCGGAGGGAGAGGTATCTTAATTTTCCACAAAAATTAAATATTGTTGAATATATTTATATAAATATAGTAAACAGCCAAATAGACAAGAAAATAGAGGGAAAATAAATACCCTAATCCTCCTCATTTTGTCTGTGAACTTCGAATTGAATTGGAAAACGTCACTTGGGGAAATTGTTTTGGTGTTGGGCTCCTTGATCAGAATCTTGTACCGGGCACAAGAAAGCGAATGAAGCACCCTAACAATATCATCATCGGCTAGGTTCAACTGACTCATAATTTCCTGGTAACTCAATCTATCGGAGGCATTGAACAACATCAGGGCAGCGGCCTAAAATTTTGAAAAAGGAAAAAAATTAAAAAGAGAAAACACTCATATACAATATCAAGACGTTATCATATTTAAGGCAATTAACGGACCTGAGCAGTTGTGACAGTAAGCTCTATAGGCTTGGCGTCGAATTTCCCAATAATGTTGCATGTCCCCAATGAATATATGAATGTGAGTCTCCTGTGCTTTGTTTTCGTCTGGTAGAACTCCCTGAACACTTCAACGCACTTCACCTGGAAGAGGAGTTTTAAAGAAGCGAATGAAAATAAATGGAAAAGGATAGTTTCTTACGGCAAGACAGAAATTATGCAGGTAAGCAATTACCATCTCAACAGGAAGGTTAAGATCGAAAGTCTTGTAACTCGGCCAAAAACCGGTTGTGAGGACAGTCACTGACAAGTCGACCCCTGGACTGACATGTGGGTTATTTCCAAGGTACTCCTCAAAGCTGGCTTGATTTTCCTTAGCAAGTGTTAGATCTGTGATCTATATAGTTGAGAAAGGCGAAAGAGGTCAAGTTGAACAAAAATAAAGGATTGATGATAGAGAATTAGTAATGATGATATTGGAGCTGACCATTCCCTCCATCTTGGATGTAAATTGACCACCACATTGCTGCTTTAACTTCGTCAAAATACTTCTTTCATGCTCATCATTGGCGCTTTTATCGAATAATAAGCGCCGAGCAAGCTTTTTCCTATCAACAATGCAGTGAAAAGAATTTAAATACAATGTATCTTTAAGAATCATGACAACCAGATACTATTTCGAGAGTCACCTGTAGAATTCAGCAAATAAGTCCTTATCACTGATGTAGGCAAGCAATTTTACCACCTAAAGAATATTTAGAAGCTCAATTACAGCTATCAAAAAATGTTATCAGAACAACACTTAACCGAAAAATTAAACATAACATTCTGAGCACACCTTCTCCAGTGTTTCCTCAATGGCTTCATCACTCAATCTCTCACTCCCACCTTTTTTGAGAATGTTATCACAAAATGTGGCAAGAAGATCAGCACTAGAACTGCCGGCGACACCCTTGTTGCAGAAGACTTCAAACGCCTCTTTAAGAGCCTAAAAGTTGACAAAAAATGTCATTTTAATGATGCAGTTGAACACAAATATAAAAATAAACAGGAAGCTCTTTTAACAATTATAACCTTGTGGAACAGTGTGTGATTCTGAAAACAGTCATTCACATATGCCATGAATTTGTTGTGGAGCTCAATTACTTTTCTGACAAAAACCTGGATTCCAAAGATCACTTTAGTGCCTGGTGACATTTTTAAGGACAAGACACAAATTTAGAAAAATTACCTGTTCCTGCAACCCATCAACATCTTTCTTATCTGTCTGTAAATGGAAAGCCACCAAATATAAATTTAAACAAATATTGACTACAGAATAGAAAATGTTAATTAGATGAAATAACAAAATTTGACACATCTTTTCTAGAACATTGTAACATAAGCAAAGTTGCTAAAATGGGTTGACAATGGACTCATTATTGTTAGGTCAACATATTCTATTATGCAAAAATCAAAATGAAATATGTGCTCGTATACATTGCATAACAAAAACGCAATCATAGAAACTATTTCCATTGTAGGCACACGATAACTATAGATCAGACATCAATCACTAAGAGCATGAGACAAACAGCAGTTTACAGAAATTTCCTATTTGATGCATTATATATCACAATGGAAGAAATAAAACATTATGTCACTGCAAAGAACCTCCAGAAGATCAAATTAGTAACTTTAAAGTTAATGATAAATGAACCTACCTTTTTGTTGCTTGCTGCATCTTCTGC